TTTTGGTTCATATGGCTGTGTAGGGTTAATCTTTGCGTGTGGAAGGTGCCTGTGGAAACTCAGAAGGTTCTGCACGGGTTCGGGGCACGTGTGAATGGTGCGGCGGCGGATCGGGTGAAGTGGCTGGCAAACACCCAGCGCATGTGGTTGTGGTCTTATGTGCTTGTGTACATGCCGTGGATATGTACGCCTGTACGTACATATTCCGGCATATGAGAGAAAATGAGTTTAGATCCATGCATGTGAACGTAGACAGATAATTGGATAAATACAGAAATAAATGCTAAGGACACGAACATTCAAAGAAGCACGTGTATACTCATCCAAAGCCCTACACCAGAAGTCTGCTCGTTTTGCTGTCGCGGGGAGTCCGTTAACGTCGGGTCCAAGCCTCGCAGCCCATGAGGCCCAACCCCTCACGCTGACAAGCCTTTCATCATAAAAAAACCCTAAACCCTAACCCTAAAACCTAAAACCCTAAAGCCTTAAATCCTAAAGTCCTAAACCCTAAACACTAAAACCCCAAAGCCTTAAACCCTAAACCCTAGACCCTAAAACCCTAAAGCCCTAAACCATAAGCACTAAACCCTAAAACCCTAAAGCCCTAAACCCTAAAACCCGAAAACAGGCTTCAGGGTGTCGGTGTCGGTTTTGAGTCGGTTTGGCAATGCAGGGCTTCGGCTGCAGCTCCTAGGGGCGCACCGCCCCAAGGTGTAGGGTTGAACGGGCTCCAGGTTGTTGTAACTTCATAAACGGTTTAGGGTTCAGGGTTCTAGGACTCCAGCTTTCCTCAGTTTACAGGTTTAGGGTTAAGGCTTCTGGGTTCTCGGGTTTCTTATACTTAGCTCACGGGTTAAAGTTGGCTTACGCCTGGTGCCAGAGCGCAAACCCTGAGCCCGAAAATCTTAAAACCCTTATAGCCCCACACCGTAAACCCACTGCAAAAGCCCTCAGCCCTAAATCCCAGGCCTGGAAGCATGGCATCCTGATATCCCGTCTCCCCTCCTACTGTTGAGGCCATCAAGGATGGACAAAAGCAAGGTGCCGCGGGTTCTCGGTTAGGGTTTGAGGGTTCGGGTTCTAGGTATCAGGGTTGCTAGGTTTCATGGTGCCAGTAATCGAGAGAATCATAGCCACGGCCACAGCAACCATGGCAGTCGTACCAACCAGAGCACCGATAACAACAGTTACCGTTTTCCGACTTGTTCGTGTTCATGGCGATGAGCAACTTGAAGCCAGTAGAATGCAGCACTCACTCATTTATAGCACTTTCTCATTTCGAATAACCATGTAGCGAGTCACACACACACACACACGCAGTAGTGGCTGTAGCGATAGTTTGGTGGTCACGACATTGAAATAATGACGAAGGCCACGCCAGTGCCACTGAAGTGGCGGCGTCAAGCCCTTCCTCCCGCCCCACCTGAGGACGGCAGGTGCGAGTACAAGGGAGGGAGCGGGAGGTTCAAGGTTCAGGGATTGGGGTGGGCTTGCACGTCTCGGGCCTTCCTGAACACAACGCCACATCCCAACGTCAGCTTGCATGACGATGGCGACGTCGAAGTGGCGGTGATGATGGTGTCATGTTGATGTTGGTCGTGAACATGAGCATAAACATGAGCCAATCACAAATGATTGTATCTGCCCACAACCCTGAATTGAAGTCATTCTCGACGGGGCTTCGTTCCACTACGTAGCTCTCCGTCTGAAGGCCAAACCCTAAATCTGCGTCTTCACCCTAGACCCGAAAAAGGGCTCCTAGGCCCTCCTCATGGCTGTTCCCAGGCCCGAGGAGCCCTGGCAGGAGGCCGCGTTTGGGGTTAAGGGGGTTAGGGAGGCTTCTAGGTTCAGTGTTTTGGCATTGGGAATTCAGGGCTTTTTGGAGTTTAGCAGGGTTTTGGGAATTTGAGAAAGTTTCTGAGAGAGTTTCTGAGTTCGGGAATTTGGAGTTTAGGGT